CACAAGGCAAATTGGTCACACGGTATAAATTGGTCACAAGGTACATTAGTCAAAGTGGCATGGTCACAAGGTAAATTTACCATAGTGACATGTTCACAAGTTTACTGGTAACAGTAATTTAGTCAAAAGTCAAATTGGTAACAGTAAACGTTACGGATGTAGGAATAATGTTACATGAAAATTTGGACACAAAACAATGGTCACAGACAAATTGACCACAAGGCATATTGGTCATGCAGGGTCATAAGGTAAACTGTAAATTGGTCACAAGGCAAATTGGTCACACGGTATAAATTGGTCACAAGGTACATTAGTCAAAGTGGCATGGTCACAAGGTAAATTTACCATAGTGACATGTTCACAAGTTTACTGTTAACAGTAATTTAGTCAAAAGTCAAATTGGTAACAGTAATTTGGTCACAAGTCAAATTGGTAATTGTAATTTAGTCAAAAGTCAAAATGGTAACAGTAATTTGGTCACAAGTCAATTGGTAACAGTAATTTAGTCACAAGTCAAATTGGTAACAGCAATTTAGTCAAAAGTCAAATTGGTAACAGTAATATGGTCACAAGTCAAATTGGTAACAGTTATTTAGTCAAAAGTCAAATTGGTCACAGTAATGTGGTCAAAAGTCAAATTGGTAACAGTAATTTAGTCAAAAGTCAAATTGATAACAGTAATTTAGTCAAAAGTCAAATTGGTCACAGTAATTTAGTCAAAAGTCAAATTGGTCACAGTCATGTGGTCACAAGGGTAGGGTTTATATTTACTTGATCTACCATATTTCGTGTAACTGATCGAAATGAATTTTTATTTTGAAGCTAAAAAAAAGCTCAACATGAATATAGAGACAGGTTGATTTAAAGTTGCTATGACAACATATCTGTCTTCTCGATTACAAAATGCATCATTTTTTTTTTAAATTCATTATCTTGTATTTATCTACTTAATTTAATATTGGAATAAATAATATAATTTGAATAATATCTCAGTCCCCGATAACCCCCTTTTTTAAAATAAATTCTAGAACCATTTTAGATATAAGTTTGATGAATTTGAATTCAAAGACACAACTTTAGGTGAAAGACCTATCTTGAATTTTACCAGTTTTCTGGAAGGAATTAACATTGTATTGGTCTTACTTGAATGTGTTCACCATCTTGACTGTCTTCACTCCCTTCATCCAGGTACCTTTAGCATCCATGATCCTGATTATTCTATATGTACTTAGTATAACGGAATATATTCAAACTCTCCAAGTTCAAATTTATTGATCAGTAGTGTCTATTGTATTAAATTATATGATTTTTTTTTTGTCTACTTGGTAATTTGAGATGTGAAATAATGAGAAATGTTTTTGTAGGGGTTGACAGAAGTCTAGCCAAGATAAATTGTTATTAGATTCATCTTAAAAGCCATATATTCTTTTCGTATTACTTTGTCTGTGTAACACTTGTATCGAGGAAATATTCAATTTCGTAAATTTTGTAAGGTATTGTCAAAAATCGATATTATTCAATTCTGAGTACACCAAATTAAAATTTGACTCGCCCAGTTTGAATAATAACTGTAACCAATACACCGTTTTTTGTCTTTAATCTATTCTTATCAGATAAATCATTGAAGTATGTCGATAAGAATTAATAAACATCATGTTATTTCTGATCGCTATAATTTTTCAGCATAAAAATATCATCTTTATAATCAGGTTGTACAATATCATGTTTCTATACCTATACCCTAAGGTCGACATGGTAGAGTTTTATCAACAAAATTAAATGCATTTTTATCTGTCATTTTAAACCATGTGTAAGAGTATAGCATATGTCTTATATTGTGGTGGAATATCTTAAGTAAATATCAAATTTTCGACACCAAACAGATTCTCTTTATAAATGTATGAAATTGTCTGTATTAAAGTGTAACATTGTCTTTATAATAGTGTAACATCGTCTTTATAATAGTATAACATTGTCTTTATAATAGTATAACATTGTCTTTATAATAGTATAACATTGTCTTTATAATAGTATAACATTGTCTTTATAATAGATTGTCTTTATAATAGTATAACATTGTCTTTATAAAAGTAAAACATGGTCTTTGAGGAGGTCTTTAATATTTTTATAATCAGCGATGTAGCCGTTGCATCGTTGCGTTTATTATAATGACATAAATACGTATACTTACGTAACAGAAGAACGTCTTCTAAGGCCCGGGTTATCGAGAGGCCGCATACTGGTTCTTCGATTCAGGTCGGGTTTTGGCGCTTTGGTTCGCATCCTGGGCGAGGCAGCAAAACGACCCCTTTCATCTGATGTAAAATAAAAATAATATAACTGTACATAATGCACGAAAATATGCATATCTAACCAGCTCGTTTCCGGTGTACTTGTATCAATTATGTTAATATCCTCAGATAATATTATTGTAATTCTATGAATTAGAAGAAGGAACTTGTAGAAGGTTTAGGTTGAACATTCACCGAATGGACCAGGACAAGGAAGCATGCCAAGGGAGATTACTCTCGGTAAACTGTCAATCAAAATTTTAAATGAGTTGAATCGTTGATTACAAATAATGAATTATCAATTGATTAATCCCTTCTTGAAAACAAACCATTGTTTCTATTTGAACAAAATCTGACTCTTGATAGGACTTTTGCTGATAAAACAGGGAGTCTACAAACTTTATTCAAATTTGATTTCCATAAGATAACAGCAATAAGGCCTACTGAATCATGGCGAGTGTCTCGGTTAGGCATTGTATATTGTCTCTTTCAATTTCAGACACTCTGTGACAGATTTCGTGCTATTGGTTTCTGTTTAAAAAGTCCACCTGGCTAATTTTGATGGCATTGGTAATTTCAATAGTGAATACACTTCATATTTGACATTTACCTTTGAGCCAAATCATTTCCATTTCCTTTAAAAGGATAATTTCCTTTCTATACTATTGACAAAGGCCATAATTCAGGACACATTGAGATATTTTATACCTTAATGTACACATTTTTGGATAATTGGGAATCAGAATGTTTTACTTACCTCTACTCATATTGAAAATGTGTGTATATTAAATATCATCAAAAATATTAACCAGAATAAAGCAGGTATATTAATAATCCACACTGATAATTATTAGTTGTTAGAGGTACACTATAGTTACTAAACGACAGATATATTTTTTATTCTTTTCATTCACTCGCACAATAGACAACTCTTACACGGCCATACCTTTCTTATTCATAGATATATATACAGTCAATAGGCAATATCGAGTGCGCTTAACCACGAATAACTGATTTTGAATATCAATTCTTTCAAATAAATCGTTTTAAAAATACACCGTATGAATTAACACTACTTGAAAAAAATCAAATGAAATCGTTGATAGATAGAAGCAGCCCAGAGTTCTCTAAATAACAGCATTTTACCCTAGTTGTACTTAAATAGTTTCTTTTCTAAGTCAGTAGGCCTATATTAACTAAAATCAAATTTTGACAATCATTAGGCCTACAAATTTTAATGCAAATTGTTCAAGAACTTCGATACAATCGATATCAAACGGCAATATTGATAAACCAAAAGTGTCAAGTTATTATCGCTTTTGTTTAATAATACGTAGTACATATGACGTAATACATGTCCACTTGAACAGTGCTTATAACCACCGCCTTTAAGCTTTTAAAAGGGAAATTCAAAGTTCTTTTTATGAATACTGGCTTGTAAGCTGAAGAAGCCAACAAAGTCTCCATCGAGTGTCTATGTAACATAGCCTTGTCAGTACGGGGCTTTTGGGAAAATTCTTTATGTATCATACCGGTACCTAGAAATATTTCGTCTATAGATACTTCCCGTAAAATCATGAAATATTCATCCTATAGTTGAAGACGATCGTCTGTATGCATCAGTGTCAGATTCAGATTGGTAATTTGTGGAAATATTGTAGGAACAGGTTCATTAATAATATAATAGTCATTAGAAGTGAGTCATTCTTTTTCTTCGTCTAATTAAATTTTTAAATATTGATGTTGTGTGTTGATGGGGTGTTGTAAATTATGATTTAATTTTATCATCAGAGCAGCTGGTTTAATATAGACGGTTACATTTCCAAAAGGTTTTAACTGACGCATGTGTTAGTTTCTAGCTCATTCTTAATGCTCGGCTTATAACATCACTGAACTAAATATTGATATTAAGTCACGCCCTTGTAGGATCAAACTGATGTTCATAAGGCGCTAAACCAAATTACAAAGGTTTATCATATCATAGTTGATGTCTGTGGAGGTCAGGCTTTCCCAAACTACCTTCACCTCATACAAAACGACGCGCATAACCTATGAGTTACCAAAATCAAATTATCTATCTAACAAAGAAACGTAGTTTCGTATGGGCTTCTCTGTTGAATATACTTATATAGGCTAACCTAGTTTATGTGGGGTTTGGGAAAGGGATCCCGAAACGTATGTAATCTAAATACGTTAGACATCAGTCTATTTGTTTACTATCTGACTACAATAGTAATTGTGTATCTTGTATACCTTAACAACCAACTGATTTAACATGTAGTATGTCGTAAATGAAATGAAATATACTACTATTAGGCTTTAAATGATAACGAATACTTGGGCAATGCATTTTACATTCTAGTTCACTGTTCTACGAATATGTGATCTCTTTCAATCAGGATTTCTCATGCGATGTTTACAGCAGGCTGAGAAGGTTGACATATAAAACGCCTAGTCAAATGGAATGAGGTGAAAATTCGCATAGAGTGTGAAATTAGGCTTTACGATCAAGCTATGTTGGATATCATTAGATACCAGTTTAGAGCCCTCTCCCATTGGATATTGAAAGCTACCTAGAGCTTAATCTTTCAAACATAGAAGTTGGCTAAGTTCGACATCGAAAGCTCAAACTTTCAAGGAATATTTCATTCAATGGCTATTAACATTCTGTAGTAACAATTCAAGATCAGGACAAAGACAAAACCGATATAACAGGCATTTTGTTTATTATGAAGAATGCATTTGTTAAAATGTACAGAACAGAAAAAGAATGGGGACAGACATTGATTTATTTTGTTCTAAATTCAGAGAAAACTTCAGTGAAAGATAACATGGTAAAAGTGTTGTAAAAACAGCAATATATCAGTAATAATTTACTAATATCAACCGGGTCAACAGAAATTCTAAATCAAAACTATCCAACAAAATTTGAGCAAAGAAAAATTTGAACATAATCATTTCAATGTTATTTTCTCCAAGAGACGTAAGTTTTAATTTTTGAGCTTGATAGGGTTAACAACAGAAATGAACACTTGGTCACAGACACTGACAGTTGATGATTATTGAAATAATATAACAATAAAAGAGAATAATAAATGAGAATGATCAAAATTACTGGCAATTACGACAAAAACTTTAACAAAACAGTCAAATTTTATTTCTAAATTTCTACGTTAACAAGGAATCCATGATATCTACTCAGCAAGAAAACTCAACATTGTTTTTAAGCCATGAAAATTTCCATAATAAATTATTAAATAAATATAAATCTAATAAATGGGAACATTTTCATTACTTGGCTTTAGCACTAGTCATTTCAAAATATAACAAAACTTCTTCTAAGTCATTATAATAAGACAAAAAGAGGGCCATGCGTAGTCTAATTAGGTGTAGGTTAGAGTTTAGCAATTGATTAATACTACATTGTTGTAATCAGGTGGGAAATGATTCCAGTATTGTTACCAAAATAGGTAGGAATGATTTCGAGTTATCTCCCTGCTTCAGGAATTCTCTCCCTTACATTTAAATAACTGATGCAGACATGATATGGAATAACTTGGGTCTAGGATAGGGTTAATCAGAGTTTACAAACTTTAATTCGGTTATGTACATTTTTAAGAAAGAAAAAACGATCAATCTAATTGATGTGAAAAAATTTTAAATAAAAATCTTCAGCAAACATCCCTACTTCCTGTAAAATATACATACTTTCTTATGAAAACAAATATACTTCATGGACAATAATTCTATTTTATTCCAAATACTTCTGATAGCTGCTCTTAGTACAACGACTGAAAGCTTTACCAATTGAACTTTGAATAAATTACAATTATAGCATTCTTTCATTCAGTTGTCACTGTCTTATCTGAACACTTCATATAACAAAATATGGTACATAAGGCCTGCTATATTAAAAGTTAAAAATCAGCTCCCCAAACATAATATATATTATACTGAAGCAGGTATTGGGTGAATCCAGAGCACTGTTTTTTCTTAAAATAAGAAATGACGGTAAAGAAAATGAATAGATTTACCTAGCAAATTTTGTTCTTTGTATAGTTAAGCCAAGACATAATAAATAATACAAAATACATCTATATTGTCCAAAATTAGATTTCGATTTGATATTTATCAATTTCTCCAAATTTAAGCCAAGCTTACATGTTTATGATTATACAATAACGTAATTCAAGTGAAAAATGTTGAAATTGTAATGCTGAAGTTTGGAAACCATATAGATGTAATTTGTATGATGTCTGCGTCAATCATTTTTAATATAAAATTATAAGTAATGTTGAAAATTACATTCCTAAACTCTCCAAATACTCTGCTATTACTCCTACTCCTTTATTGACATTGCCTTGTTGACTTCCTTCAGCAACATGAGCTATAACTATAGCTGAAAAATACAAACAAAATTCTTTTAATGGATTTGTGCAATATGGTTAAAATAATTATAAGCAAAGATTAGCACCTTTCCAATTTTCAATTAGGATCCTTGGTTCTAGTGTTTCCAACAAACCAAGCACTTTATAACTTCACTATCGCAATGGCCCTTAGATAGTATTAGCTGCTTACGATTTTCACATCATTTAAAGCTTAATTTAGACCATTTGCAATATTAATAACTCAAAACTTATTCATGTAAAGATCAAGTCATACCAGAATCCCGGCATGTTTTAACAAAATGACAAAAAAAGTTTCGCCAAAGTCTCTAACCATTTTTTTTTATTATTTAGGCAAGAAAAGGCAGTTATTCAAAATGTTAAATTTGATACCACAAATTTTTGTAGGCATAAAACATAAAAGGAAATAACCTACCAGTTTTAGAACATTGTAATGTTACACCTCCATGGTCTTTTTTCTTTCCTAGTACCTAGAATAAACAGAGGGTGTTATTAACTTACTGACCATTATTACAATCGTCTTCAACAAACTATCTCTAAATATCCAAGGTAACGACTTTTTTCTCTCAATATAAATGAATAGCTGGAAATGATCAACTAGCCTTGAAGAAGTCCATACTCTTCTAGTACTTCTGAGGACTATTTTCATATATTCAAGACTAAAATCAACCCCCAAAATGGCACACCTGTCCCTTAAAATTACCAATGAGAACACGTGTTGCACAATTCCTTTCAACCTTGTCTGCCTATAGATTTTACTTTTGTTACTCTGTTATGTAAGAAACAGAATTAAACACCTACCAATTTACCATCTTCTGACCGTAAAAATTGATATTTAACACCACCTAAGACTATACCACTGGCTTGAAATGGGGTAAAATCTTTCGATTTAAAACAGGAAGCTACAGTAGCACCTTCTTGTGGAGATATCTGGAAAGCCTGGAAGAAAAATGATAAGTTTTTTATATACAGGAACTATCTGCAATCATATGTCAACTGGAGCATACTACCTAGAAACTCACTGAAAAAACTTCCATTCAGGGTTTGATATTGATTACAATATTGAGATCTATTATCAATGGCTGACTACCGATTGATAATCTAAATAATTTAATTGATAAACCCTGTAAATACTAAATTAAAAACATGCCAAAATTCTAATTTCATGGGTAATTTTTGCATCATAGAAGTATATACTGGCTAGTTATTCTAGTTCATTGAGGGTATGTTATTTGCTAAAGGGAACCTATGTGGAAGAGACTACTACTTGTTTGTTTTACAATATACTGCAGGTAGATCATAAAAAGAATCCCTTTTCTCACATCTTTCACCCTAGGAATATTTTCATCAATATTTTAATTTTATAGTGATTCATGCTGTTTGAGTCTAAGGGGAGATAAATGGATATTATGAAACCAATACCAGTATGAAAGGTGTAGGATAACACATAAAACATGACATTGATTACATCCTTAAAATTAATTAAATAAAACAGGACAGGGAAACAAAAAAAACTAATATTTCCTTCTACAACATGACTTATCAGTCGAATTTGTCTTTTATCTACTAACATAATTTATACCATTTTATGGGTTTTAAACTAGTTCAGCTTTGTCTAGGGTTATTTACCTAAACGAGTGTCCCAGCAGGAGTTGCTCAGTTTTTAAATTAGATCATTTTGAAATAAGATAGTGGACCACAGCCATATACGCCCTTCACGGCATGCTGATGGTAAAAACGAAACATCCATTTTAAGTTTCAAAATCAGTTGAAAACTAAGAGAGTAATAGCATATTCAAGATTTTAGGGCAAGGGCAATACTTCTGCTTCTAAAAATCGAAAATAGCTCAAAATCAAACTTGATCTTCATTTTATGAATATGTATACACATACCAAATTTCATTTGATTCGATCAAAAAATCTAGTTTTTAGAGCGTTTACAAGCAAATGTTGACGGACCGACGGACGGACAGGGGTGCCGACAATATATGTCCACATAAAGAGATGTGGTCATATAAAAATGCAGAAAGTATAAGCTATCTTGCAACATATTTTAACAATTGATATATCCTGCTAGTTTGAATTCAGAGGTAAATAAGACAAGTGTATAAACTATCAATACATACCGCACCAGCAGCATTGGTAGTCCATGCTGCTCCACCATCAATTCCTATAATACATGCCTTGTCTGCATGTGCTGCACCACTCGAATCTTTGGTCTGAGCAATCAAGTTATCGATGTATGAATCCCAACTCATTCTGAAAGAACAAGTGTTATTAAAACTAAGTTAAAAGATAATATATATAAATCACTACTCTAATGATCCTTAATATCGCAAAACAGTCATAAACCTCTCCTAATACGAACACTGATCACACTGGTTACTAAGGTTTGATTGAAATTCAATTAGATTTTATTAATATTATAAACTAATAGTAATTTAGTTCCTGGTTGAAGTCACTTCCTGTCAGCCTGTATCAACTAACTACCTTCTGATTATTAACTACTTATCTTACTACACACTACACATTTCTCACCCTAGTGTCTCTCTCTGTTTATTTTTGACAGATTTCCAAATACAACATATTACAATACTACAATTGCATACAATTCTTCTTGAACACTATTTTAACAGTGAAAATATTTTATTGTGCAATTCTTCTCATTCAAACAATGTAACTTACGAAAGTCGATGGAAATATAAAGTGACTGAACACATAAACCAACTACATAGCCAAATATTGTGGTGTCAAAAGACCCTTCTTTATTTCATTCTAATTTTGAAAGCATAAAATATTAAACTAAATCAGTCAATTCACCTCAAAAATGTATCCAATTAGCAGTATTGTAAATGATGTACAGTAGTTAAAATAAGTATGAATAGAGAAATATAGATTGAAGGCTGATATCTATAAATAAATAAAAATTTAATCATAAAAAAGTTGTCTTGATGAAATGCATCGATTTTCTGCATTGAAGAATTTAAATCCAGCTTTAACATAAAACAGCAAAACCTGTTACTGATTGGTTTCTAATGATTATTATTTTATGTAGGGTTGAGATCAGTGAACAGAACTGACCCATCCTTTGTAAATATTTCCAGATGGCTGCATCCCAAATAAACAAGACATTAAGATGGATATATTGTGTCCATTTTACATTTTTATACAAATACTTGTCAAGTTCCAGTTAGTCAGTGAAGCACAAAATAAACCCTTACCACTTAATACTAGACACAAACAAACACAAAGGATATGCATAAAGATGTAAGAGAGCAAGACATTAACCATATTTTGAACCATGTTGCCAACACATAGTACACATGCCTACAAAATTTGATGTCTTTTAAAAGAAGGAAAATAAATTTTCATGAAAATTGTTTGCAAAAAAGACCATTGTAAAAGGGACAATTAAAATCAACCTATTTCAATAAATTTCAGGTTAAATCATTGAAGGGACAGGTAGGCTATTAATTTGACCAATCATACTTTAGTCTGGGGACTTAGTAACTGGAATTTTTTGGCTGAGCTAATCAGTAATAGTGTTCACAGCTCACCGTCGAAATTTGAACCTTCAAATCCATGTGGGTCAGCGTTTGAATGTAAAAGTGATGACTCGTCAATTCAAGATACTCTGTGATATATAGAAAAAAACATCAATAGAAATAGTGAGTAAAATTCCTAGGTTGAAGTATTTTTAAAGGAATTTTGTGATTTCATACATTTCTAGTACTTCTGAAGACTATATATACATATCTTCAAAACTAAAATCAACCCCCAAAATGGCACATCTGTCCCTTTAAAAGCATCATTGAACTAGTGGTTAATATCTTAATTTAACATCTTATTACATATTTCATGCCCCTAATTTGAACTACATTTTCAAACCATTGACCTTTAAATTTGATTGAACAGTAATATTAATTTACATATTTGACTGGAGGGTCAACATCAAATCAACTTCCTGTTTTCAACTCAATATTAACCTGATTTTGACACTGCCCAAATCATAGTAATAGAAATTATCGTAGACTTGTGTGGTATATTATGAATAATTACATATCATATCCAATACCCTACATCTCTACTTGACATCTCAGCATCCTTATAGAGATTCCACACACAAGTTTACACCAAGCCTTTATTTAATGAATGAATGTGGATCTTGTTATCGTTATGGGGGAATAAACGCTTGTCACATGATAACCCAGCATTTATTCCCCCATAACGATAACAAGATCCACATTCATTCAAGTCAAGCTAGTCAATTGTAGCGTAAATGACAAAGGATCCCAGCACATTTGTCTGAGGAATTCTTGAAAAAGCTCTAGTCCTTTGGTTTTTTTTTAATGTAAAAGGGGTTTTAATTAATGTAATTCGATAAACAGCAAGGAAGTTTCTCAAAAATATAAAGAAAAACACTTCCTATACTGGTATTGGATAATATGATAATTATTTGGCAATGGTACAAGTTAAATCCATAATCTTCTTATCAGACAGTTATAGCACTTCAAATCTTCAATATAAATAATCATAAACAGTAATCTCTACTCAATAATATCTGGAGTATAGAGTTCCCAATTTTTTTTTTTAAGAGCATTTTTTCATTGGTGACAAATTTACATAACTGACTGACACTATAATCAACTTTTCTGTGTCAACTCCGTGACCCACTAAGATTCATCATGTAATGCCTATATCATAGATTTGTATGAAAGAATAATTTCAAATACAGTCAAAAAAGTTAAGAAAAACAGTTCAAATTAAATGCAGTCAGTCACTTAATTTGATAAATCTTTGCTGGCAATTAGCCTACTCTTGTTGTTATTTATTAGGCAATTTGACATACACAAGTGAAACTGAGTCAAGTGATTGTAGATAATCCCACTTTTAAAAGAGGCCACTTCATGAGAATTGCTGATCAAGATTTTATTGATTTTAATATCATTATAACCAGACCTCTACTTTAGCCTGTACATGTAACTAAAATGACGGATCCAAAAATGATTATGATGCAAGTAAAAGTAAGGCAACACCTACACCAATTACTTGTTACAGTAATCAAATAGGTAAGTCAGCTTACGTAACCTAAGCTTGAATGATCATAAAAATTATCAAATCAGATATTGTATTAATTCAATAACAAAACCACTGAAAGTCATGGTATGTCCCAAGAATGTACAAGCGGCAAGCATTTATATTTGTGTTCTATTTAATGGTGAACTTGTATTATATCCTATTCCATCACGGTCATAATAAATTGAGGGCGTATATACCCCAAAACAGAAGCAGGAATTGAGATATCCTGTGCACATGAAATTCCATAATGGTTATTCCAATAATTGGTGCAGACGTCTCATTTAACACTACAAGAGATGCATTTTCAGTATTCAATGGAAACAACGAAACAAAGAAAATACAATTGGTGAGGTAATTGTTTTTAAACAGCAAAGTCACATCCTCTCAGTCAGTCACTGACAGGTGAGTAAGCCATAAAAATATTTGTGCATCAGGAAGTAATGTGAAGTCTTGGCCTGAGACAAAGATATTTTCAATGTTGTTGTTGTCTTTTTGATAAGCCCATACCTATCATGCTCATACCCTTGACAATGATATACTATTCCTAATCTTTCTAATAAGCTAGGTCTCAATTTTAATTTTAAGTAGTTTACATAATGCACATTCTTTGATATCAATTATGTAAAATAATATTAGACTATGCAACCAGACTTGAGTCTTGGCTGTAAAATCACATCACAATCACTTAATCTTGATTGCACAATGTAATCAAGAAGGAATTACACCATGATCATTTGATTATAATCTCCTACTAAATACATCATTATTATCAACAAGATGCCACCGACAACGCGGACGTCGGAGAAGAATCAACTTTATTAACACGTGCCCGCCTCCCTTGACCCTACTAATTTGATGAGCTGTCAGTGTCAACTACGGAAAGCGTTTTCAAGCGTTAGAGAAGCAAATTGATGCCGACACACAAGAATTTACACCCTGAACCGCATCCAAATAGCATCAAACATATCATAAATTGAAAACTGTTCATCCTAAACCGAACCCCATGTCAGAATTGATGACAGGGAAAGTCTGAAAAATGAATCATCACCTCGTCTACGATGTTCTCGATAACAACTATACATTCTTGTCGGTTTATGTAAATATTACTAATGTGGTACAAATTACCTGATTTAATTTATAGTTAGATGAAAGTACTAGGTGGATTTTGGCTTAACTCTCCAAACTTCAACCAAATTTGGGCTAGTAAATTCTAATATGGCGGCCGGTGTATGAGGTCTTCAATACAAGCTGTTACCCGGTTTACTGTACCGTATCGCCAGTCAACTGACTCAACCTAGGGGGCGACACTAGTAATGGCCACGCCGCTAGACGGGATTATCAAGCTCTGGAATAAACGCGTGAAACAGGAAATTGCGTACAACTTGACTTTTAGAGAAACTAGTGTTTAAATCTTCATAATATCAGGAACAACAAGTGTAAAAAAAATCATTTGATTTTTGGCGAATATCTTTCAAAATAATGTATGAAATATTGAGTACTAAGTCTTGGTAATCGAAAATAAAACATAGCCCTGTAGTAAATTTGCTCACAGGGTACTGATAAAAACTCCAGTTTAAAGGGATTGGCTTGGAAAAAAATGCGAGATTTTGCGTCTTTTTCTTTTAAACATATTTGGTTGTGCCATAATTATGTCAATATACTAAAATATAAATTCAAAAGGATTTATACATACTAATACAATTACATGAGCTTTTAAGAAAATTTATTATTAAGCTTGTAATGTGTAAATGTCGGGTACCGTACTATGTATTTCCAATTCCATATCAATGTATGTACGATCTTGTTTGTCTAAATCACCTTTATAGTGAAACACTTACTTCAAATCGAATTCTTTATTCTCGCCTTCATACAGATTTTCACAAAAACACATAAATTAGGATTACAAACGCATAAATTGCTCGCGAACTGTGAGGCGTAACCATTAATTAGTTGTTGTCACAAACAGTCTTATAGGACTTTATTACCTCCCTTTAACCAATGCAAACCTCAGCCTTATCTCTGGTATTTGAGAGTTTAAAGGTTCGCGAACATTCAGAGCTGAAACTATAGCGGCTCAACAAGTCATTCAAGCCAACTAAATGTTTCAGGTCTCAAATTTCGACGGTGAGGTGTGAACACTAAAAATCCCGTTTCTGAGACCATGGCTGTCCTACAATTGGTCGAACAAATGGCGAATATGACCATTCTGGTGCAGATATATATGCCTACTGGACTGTTTCTGGATAAATATTTAGATTTTTAGGGCTTCATAAAAATAATAACATAGTTATAATAAACTTTATAATTTAAATGGACTAGATATACAAGTGAAATGATTCTAAAACGCCATATTCCGCTAATATGGGTAATCCGATAAACCCATAAAAAAAAATTTCTTAAGCCTTATTAATTACTTTGTAGTATGGATTATACAGGTTATCTATTGTTTAGTTATGACACCAGGCTCCACTTCTGAATATTATACTCTCTTATTGCCGTATGTTTGAGAATTTAAATTTTATGTTCATTATTAGAGGTGGTAAGGTATGGCGATGGACGGTGATTTGACATCTTAAAGGAATTATTGTTAAGAGCTTCTAAGTGCACAGCTATTCCCCACAGCCCCGGAACTCGTTACGACAACGGTAATTTTAATAAACTGTTTCTCTTACAAGCTAAACTTGTCCTAATTGTCGAAATTCTCTTTGCGATTTTCGTATTGTAAATAAATGATAAGCTCTTTTGAAGAATTTGTCACGAATACACATAGCCAGAATTTTACAATTGACCAATTGCCGTAAAATGCAATTCTTCAAAAATTCATAATTGTTAGTCATAAAAAATCTAGAGCTAAAATCTACTAATTGTATCTTTGCTTGATGACGTAAAATTCCGTAAACATAAATATCATCGATCCAGAAAAACGGTGAGACGAAAGCCGCTCTATAGAGTCGTTTTGCCATCTCACTTCGGAACACCGCTGCAAAACCGGGACAATATGACCATGGGTATCTTTTTCGCCCATGAAACTCATTTCGAGCCACTTTCCATTTTCCTGTTCGTAGTACTCGAGGGTAGTTTATCGTACAACAATGTATATTATTAGGATTCAGTCGTGATGCAAATAATTCTAGAAATAACTGCATATCAAAAACTACATCGTCATCTACCCTAAGTGTCCATTCTGAGTTCTGGCAATGTTCTGTCACCCATCGTAATCCCATTACAGCTTTATGTGTTAAATTATGGTAAGAATCAAAGAAATCTCCTTGCACCATGTCTCTATATTTCATACTTTCACTTTCTATTGCGGCTTGAATATTTCGATTTGACGGACGACCTACTAAGAAAACTACTCTTATCTTAAATGGTAAAAACAAAGTTTTAGAACCATACGTTTCTCTTATAGAGTTTCTTCTGTGATAGTTTGGAATGGAAGAATGAACCATCACTATGACATTTGTAACCGATGACCCAGAACAGATTTCCTTATTATTGATGAGGTAATCGTTATATAAAGTAATTGGTAATTGTCGACTTTTGGTGTAATAGTCTAAAATTTGATTCTGAACTGTTCGATTATTCCGAAGGGTTAGTGGATCCACATTTTCATCTGAATACGGAATCGACATATTATCGTATGGTTTCTTATTGACCATCAGAGAAACTTCCATGTCTTCACTTTCGGAATTCCAAAAGTTTCTATCCAGAAAACTGACGAATCCCAAATATGTCGTATTTATTCTGTTTGGTGATTTAGAGTTCTTCCACATCATCGGATGTAGTACTATAAATACTACCATAACAAAAATAACCAACTGTTTTGTTTTTATCCATCGCCTGAAAAATAGTTAATTAGTATAATAACCTTATTTTACTTTTTTCAGGGCCAATATATACTGTAGCTTATCCCCGTGCCATATGCAATTTTGTATGAAAATTTGCGAATTCTACTGTACATCTGAAAGTATTTTCACAAGTGGAATGCTGAAATGTTCTCATTTCTAGAATCGGGAAAAGTTCTAAAACTTTCAGAGGGTGGAAATATGTACCAATCTCCGTCTGTACGAACATCAATTCAGTTTAGATGATCGGTTTGGTGCATTGTGTTAAAGGGACAATTGCTATATTTTTATGGATCAATCAAGTCTCAAAAAACGGGAATTTTTTAACTTAGGAATTATGCGACTTTCGTACATTTCTAGTATTTCTGAAGAATATTTACATATATTTAAGGATAAAATCAACCCCCAAAATGCTGTATCTGTCCCTTTAATAAACACATAATTCCTAAAATCCTAAAATTTGAATTGCTAGAAAAAAACAGTGAAAACAGTGAACACGTCGGATGACTTACCATAAACCATACATTTTATCAATATCGGATGGATGTTTCAGGTGGGGTAGTCAACTGGACATAACTTTCCACAGCGTTCATACTCTCAATAACCTAGTATATAAAGAATCCTTATTGATATACCATCTGATCCAGTTCAAATATTCACAATAATTATACCCAACAGCTTGACTCAACACGGTGTTAATCGATTTTTTTTTTAAAAAAGAGACCTTATTAATGGCTTGTGGTAAGTGATCAACAGATCACGATCAATTGTATCTGAATATATCGACGAACGAGAGGTAATTGTATGACCTATAGATGTTTGATCTCTATAGAAAGTACGATGCATCCCTTGAAG